TAATTATATATTTATATTACATGTAATATTACTAATAATGTTATAATATAATGTACAGTACAATATAGTAATATTTAATACTGATATTGTACTATGGTAATAGCATAATATATTGTATGTGTATATATCTTGTAAGCCACTGTGAGTCCCCTTCGGGATGAAAAGGGCGGCATATAAATGTCGTAAATAAATAAATATGCTTATTGATTTATATATAGATATAATATTGATAATAGTATAATGTAAGACAGTATAATACTTATAATACAATATAAAATATAATACTGTAATATAGCAATACTAATATATTAAATATAATCACTACTGATAATATATAATAATTAGCCACTCTGACTCCCCTTTGGGGTGAGAAGGGAGGCATATAAATGTTGTAAATAAATAAATAAATATGTTTGCATTCTCTTCATAACTTCTCCCCCCCGCCCTCATTTTTTGGATGCCTAAACAGATTACTCCACTCCTACAACCTCGAATTTGGTCATATATACAAGGTGAATAACTGTCTTGAAAAAATAAGCTGAAATTAAACCAAACCAGCTAAGATCAAAAGTTCCTAAACCACATTTTGTGTGTGTGTGTGTGTGTCAGGAGCGACTTGAGAAACTGCAAGTCGCTTCTGGTGTGAGAGAATTGGCCATCTGCAAGGATGTTGCCCAGGGGAAGCCCGGATGTTTTACCATCCTGTGGGAAGCTTCTCTCATGTCCATACATGAGAAGCTGGAGCTCATCTCGCTCCCCGGATTCAAACTGCCGACTTTTTTTTTTTTAATAATTTTTTATTGATTTATCACATTTATTACATACTATTACATTTTGTACATCAACCTCTTTAACATGTTGTTTTGTTGTTTTGCTCTGACATTTTCCCCCCCTTTTCTCTTTTTTTCCTTTTTTCACCACAGTGCTCCCCTCCACCCGTCTCAAGCCACCATTCTTACATTTCATCTGTCCAAAATTTCATTTCTTCTTGTGACGGTAATTTTCCTTCCTTATTTTTTAATCCATTTACCACAAATCTTCCCCATACAGCATCAAATCGCTTTGTTTCCATATACCTTTTTTAACCTTTAATATACATGTCAATTTATCATTTATTGCTATTTTCCATGCTTCTTTATACCACTCCTCTATTTGTATATTCATTTCTTTTTTCCAATTCCTTGCTATAAGCAGTCTTGCTATAGTTAGTAAGTTTGTTATCGCTTCTTTATCCTCCTTTTTCAATTGCTTATTGTTATATAATGATAGTAAAGCTATACTAGGACTTTTATCTATTTTTATATTCATTATAGTTTCTATTTCTCTAAATACTTTCTCCCAAAAATTATTTACATATTTACATTGCCACCACATGTGTATATATGTTCCTGGTTCTTGACACCCTCTCCAACAATTTATTGAGTTATTTTTATTCATATATGCTATTCTTACCGGTGTCAAGTACCACTTCCATATTAACTTGTAATAGTTTTCTTTAACTCGTATCGATAAATTTTTTAAATGTCTTTGTCCCCATAATTGTTGCCACTCTATTTCACTTATTTTTATCCCTAAATCCTCTTCCCAAATCTCTTTAAGGGTGCACTTTTTTGTTTTTTCATCCTTCATTTCAATTAGTATCTTATAAATTTTGCTAATTATACCTCTCAAGTTTTCGTGTTCTTCTACAGCCCTTCCCTTCTGTATTATTTGTTCGAATTGATTGAGTTGGCTTCCACTTCTATTATTTTTTTTCCAGTTTATTAACCATTGTTCTAATTGTATACAATGAAACCATGACAATTTTATTTCTTTAAACTCTTCCAACATCATTTCCCTCTTCATTTCCACCTTCATCCAATCCCCTATCCTATCTAAGTTTATTTCCCTTACCTTTTTATCCATTACTTTTTTAAAAAATTTTGGGAACTTCTTTTCCATCACTATTGGGGTTATAATTGATCCCTCCTTTATTAACCTCCCCTTATATTTATTCCATACTTTAAGTATATTGCTCAGCATTGGGTTTCTAATTTCCCTCATTTCTTTTCTAGTAAACTGTTTAAAAAATATATTCCAAGTTTCATCTTCCACTTTTCCTGAATCATTACTAAGCCAATCTATTCCCTCTTTTTTAACCATTCCTTCTATAACCAAACTTAATCTACTTGCTTCATAATATTTTTTTATATTAGGTAGCGCTAGTCCACCCTCCTTTTGCGATCTGTACCATAACTGTTTATTTAGTCTGTTTCTTTTACTTCCATTACAGTACTTATTAATCATTTGTTGCCATCTAGTTAGTTCTTCTTCTGTAATTTGAAGTGGTAGCATCCTAAACATAAAATTTATTTTTGGAAGTATTTTCATTTTTACTAATGCTATTCTTCCAAACCAGGATAAGCGTATACCTTCGTACTCTATTAACTTTTTCTGGACTTCTTTCCTTAATGTTACTACATTTACTTCCTCTATCTCTTTTAAATCCTTGGTTATTATTACTCCCAAGTATTTTAATTTATTCTTAATTCTTATTCCCATTTTGCTCTGTTCTATAAAATCTTTTTCTTCTTCTCTTGTATAATTAAGTAGCATCATTTCTGACTTGTTCCAATTAACTTGTAAACCTGTTGCTTTCCCAAATATCTCCAAATGTTCTTTTATTCTATCCATTTTCTCCACTATATTTTCTATAAATAACAATGTATCGTCAGCGACTAAGCTCACCTTCTGTTTCTCCTTTTTTCCTAACCCTTCTAAGTTTTTATCGTTCCTTATGTTATTAGCAAACAGTTCTATCACCATAGCAAATAGTATCGGAGACAAAGGGCACCCTTGTCTGGTTCCTCTAGTCACTTTTATTTCGTTTGTCACTCCGTCATTTATAGTTACCACTGCTGAGTTCCTTGAGTAAAATTGTTTTAGTACTCCTTTTATTCTATTTCCCATTCCAAATTTATTCAATATTTCCCTTAATGTCTCCCATTCCACACAATCGAACGCTTTAAAAATATCTAATGATAATATCCCTGCTTTTTCTTTCCCCTCTTTAGCCCAATGAATTTTATTTAATACTCTCCCTATCAAATTTGACATTTGTCTTCCTTTTATAAACCTGCACTGATCTTCTTTTATGTACTTATACATACATTTATTCATTCTATTAGCTAATATCGCGGACAATATCTTTGCATCCTGATTAATTAATGATATGGGCCTATATGACCCTGGGTCTGTTAGTCTTTATCAGGTTTAGGTATTAATATTATTAATGATCTCCTCCATGATTCGGGTATTTTATCTCCCTTCATTATTCCATTATACAATTCTAATAATTTTGGGGTTAAAACTTCTCTAAAGCTTTTATAATATTCTGTCCCTAGACCATCCAAGCCCGGAGCTTTCCCTACTTTTAATTTCTTAATAACTTCCTCTATTTCTTTTTTCTTAATAGGTTGTTCCAGTAACTCTTTATCTTTCTCCTCCAGCTTACTCTCCCAATTTTCCTCCACATATTTCCTAATTGCCTCTATGGGGCTTGCTTTGGTTTGATATAGTTCTTTATAAAATTCTTCAAATACTTTCAATTTTTCTTTCATAGCTCTACATAATTTACCTGTTTTATCTTTTATCGTATTTATCATTCCTTCCATTTTCTTTTTCTGTGTTGATTTGGCTAGCATCTTTGAATTCCTATCACTAAACTCAAAATATTCCCTCCTTAAATAAATTAAATTTTCTTGTACTTCGTCTATTTCCATTTTATCCAATTCCTCTTTTTTTGCTCTTAACCTAGCATAAATTCGTGTATCTCTCTTTATTACATATGCTTTTTCAATCTCTTCTATTTCTCTTTCTAAATTCCTTTTCCTTTCTTCTTGCCTTCTTTTTAAGTTAATTGTCTCTTTTATACATAACCCTCTGGTCACTGCTTTCATAGTGTCCCATAGAACTCCCTTTGTCACCCCCTTTTCATTAAAGCCCCATATTTCTTGCCATTCTGCTTGCACTTTATCTACTATCTCTTTATGATTTAGTATTCTTGTATTTAACCTCCACCTTTTCATTTTGTCATAATCACATTTCAACACAATCTCAATTGAAACCAAAGCATGATCCGAAATCTTAATCATACCTATATCAGCATTTAGCACTTTACTTGTCATATTTTTGGAGACGAAAATATAATCAATTCTTGTATACACCTTATGTACCGATGAATAATATGTATATCTACTTTCATTCCCTTTTACCAATCTCCACACATCCTTTAATTGCCATTTATTCATTACTCTACTTAATTCCGTTGTTTCAATATTTCTAGCTTTTGATGCTATCGTAGTTTTATCCTTCTTTAAATCCATACAGCAATTACAATCTCCTCCAAATATTACATTTTGTTGATGGTAATTCTCTATTTGCTCTAACACTTTTTCATAAAATTCTTGCTGTTTTACATGTAAAACTGCCGACTTTTCGATCAGCAGTCCTGCTGGCACAAGGACAGGTGATTACATTTTTACCAACTAGGCTGTAACCTCCAGTGGATGAAGTTTACAATCTGAGAGCAACTATTAAAGCAATTCAATACAAATAATAAACCGTTAAACTCCTTAACTGTGGGAAAAATGTATTATCATATCAGAAGGGAAACCCTGGCAATTGTGACTGAACATGTTTGGCCTTAAAAGCCCTTCAGAGAATCCTGTATCGGCGGATATAGATTTGCCGGTCTGCAAATAAGTAGCCAGCCTAATAATCACATACTCTCTACCATTTCTCAGATGAAAACCAGGACATATTGTGGCCAACCAACATTAGAGTGAGGTTAAGATGGCATGAGTTATTAGTGAGGAAGAATACACAAGCTAGGAGAAGACACTGCCTTTTTTCAAAAATCACTCCTGATTGTAAAGAGAATTCTTCGGAGTGGGGTTTGAACAGGGAGGAGGATGATTCAACCTGTCATATTATACAAAACATATAACAATGCAGCATACCTTGAGTTCCTGTTTGGGATCAATGTTTTTAATTGTAGTGTAATAAATATGATGGCCGTATTGATAAGCGACTAGGTTCTGCTCCAGGTGGTTCTGTGCAGGGCGCACAAACATCATCCAGTTGCAAAGAGCCTCGCTGGACAGCTCAAACCAGAGATCCTCCTGGAGGTCCCGGTCTTTTCTGTCACCTTTGTTAAGGGACACCTGAGGATAAATAACAGATACATAAAGTCATGCTGGCCACATGACCTTGGAGGTGTCTATGGACAATGCCGGCTCTTCGGCTTAGACATGAAGATGAGCAGCAACCCCCAGAGTCGGATACGACTGGACTTAATGTCAGGGGAAAATCTTTACTTATTATTATCAGTATTATATTGTATTACATTATAATATTATGATCAATGTTGTATGTGCATATTGTATGTACAATAACCGCCTTGAGTCACTGATTGGCTGAGAAAGGCGTTATACAAATACAGTAAATAAATAAAAGAAAAATTATATTATTAGCATAGCACAATATTAGTAATTATATTAGTAATGGGTTGTTGTAGGTTTTTTCGGGCTATATGGCCATGTTCTAAAGGCATTGTCTCCTGACGTTTTGCCGGCATCTATGGCAAGCATCCTCAAGGTAGTGAGGTTGTTGTGAGTCAGCATTCTGACACCATACCTACTAGTAGTAGCAGGAGAAGAAGAAGGAGTGATGCAGAAACAGAGGAGAATCAGCGCCAGCTGAAACGCATTCGTGACATCTTTCTGGCTCCCAGTGATGAAGAAGACTTTGCAGGATTCAGGCCAGAGACCTCACTACCTCTGAGGATGCTTGCCATAGATGCAGGCGAAACGTCAGGAGAAAATGCCTTTAGAACATGGCCATATAGCCCGAAAAAACCTACAACAACCCAGTGATTCCCGCCATGATAGCCTTCGACAATATATTAGTAATTATTATATTCTATTATTATTATATATTCTACAATTATTATATTCTATTATTATTAGTAGCATTATATTGTATTACATTATAATATTATGATCAATATTATATGTACATACAATATATTATATTATTAGCATAGCACAATATTCGTATTATATATTAGTAATTATATATTAGTAATTAGTAATATTACATGTAATATATAATATACAATTATTATATTCTATTATTAGTAGTGGTATACACAGAGAGAGAGAGAGAGAGAGAACACATCAGTATAATGACATCTCCCTTATAAAATAGTCATTTATGATCCTGAATTGTGGAAGTCAAATGTTGATAGAGAACACAAGGCTGGAGAACACAGAGCAATTTGACACTATTCCTTTCTGGCCTGCCCCATACCTACACTGAGTCACTATAAACAATTATGATCTCACATTTATGTCACTCTGCATATTTTGCACCAGCCTGAATGAGCCAGATGTACTTGGACCCATTTATACAGAAGCCTGCAACAGATTATGTCATAAGTCATTTACTGCAGTCAATTGACTCATATATGCTATTTACGTTCTCGGGATATGTTCACTTTTTAGGCCTCCATCATTTTTTCTCACTGGATGAGTGTAGGACCTATACAAAACCATGATCTTTGCCACTGTACTCCATGAACACACCTGCCTGATTTGGGAAACTAGGAAAGGTCACAATTGCTTAGTACATGAATGTGAGTTCGCCAGAGACCTTGGGAGATAGCCACGTAAAGCTAGGAAAGGCCCATGCTGAAAATCTTGAAGATTCAGTGCCAGCCAGAATTGGCAATGCTCCATCAGATAGTTCTATTCAACATAAGACATAGTTCCTAACAGCCAAAAACACCTGATAACAGGTGACATAGCCAGGTCTTCCCATTTGGCGTATTTCAATCAGAAAAATGAATCTGTAGCAATGTTGGAGTTCAGCCTGTGATTGTGTTTCAAGATCAAGGTCCTTTAGATGTGGGGAATGATGTCAATGAGGGTCAAGATGGCAATGGTCTGGTCAATGATGTTAATGCAGAGAATGACATAGTGACACCGGTTCAAAGTGTAGTTTCCCGTGAGTATAGAGATGAGAGTTTATGCTCTGAATTTCCCCCAGAGACTGCCCAGGATTTGGGGCTTGACAACAAGTCAGCACCTGGAGAAATTAATGAGCATATAGACAGATGGGTGGAAATTAGCCAAAACAGACTGCTCGGCCAAGGCCTTCACCGTTCTGCCCGGCTTCAGCAGATAAGGATGAGAGGCATTCAGGGAAAACAAAACCAATTTCTGAGTGCTAGGAAAGGTTTAACAAGGGTATATTAAGTTCCAACCATGAGAAATAGTCAGATGAAGCATCGTTTCAGATTACTTCTAAGTCCTGCTCTTGTCTCATGGAAGCCTTGCTTGGAAGATTCATGTTTAAGGATTTTCTTGCTGTATGGTTTGACTTTTTGTCTCTTGTGATTATCTGTTCATGCTTTGGACCACCATTTCCCTGTTTCTTTGGATTTTAATAGAGAAGTCTAGACTTTGTTTTTGAACTTTGTTGAACCCTTCCTTGGATTAATTTGTTCCTGCTTATCTCTTACCTAACTGGATTTACCTACTCCCTTAAAGCGGTTTTTCTATTCTGCTGTTTTTACTTATCTTCAATAAAAAAGGATTGTTTTTCCTACTCAACGTGTGGTGTTTTAAAGTCAGAGGGCTATTCCTGTTCTGGAGTGCAACAAGCAAGACCTTGCAACTCTGAGGCCCTTTCTACACTGCCATATAATCCAGATTAGCAAAGCAGATAATCCACATTATCTGCTTTCAACTTGATTATATGAGTCTACACTGCCATATAATCCAGTTCAAAGCAGATAATCTGGATTTTATACAACAATGTAAAAGGGGACTTAGAGTCACAAGGTCTTGCTACAGACTCCACACAGCCTTCCACACAGCTCTATATCCCAGAATATCAAGGCAGGAAATCCCACATTATCTGAGTGTGGACTCAGATAACCCAGTTCAAAGCAGACATTGTGGGATTTTCTGCCTTGATATTCTGAGATATAGGGCTGTGTGGAAGGGCCCTTACTGTATGCTAGATGTTGCTGAATGGATAAACATGAATCACCTTAGTTTGCATCTCAGCACCATCGTTAATGTTTGCTATGAGTTCTGCAAGATAATAATATTAATTTTGCAACCATAAGACTATTTCCCGTTGTTACTGAGAGCATCCCCTCTAAGAAACTGAAGGTTCAGGTAGAAGTTATTCTTTCGCATCAGAGTATCAGGAATTCTGACAGTTGCATTTCAATCATCTTCATGGGTGATTTCCATGAGAACAAGTCTCATGAGAAAATTTTGAAAAAAACCTGAGAAATGTCAGTCTAGAGAACAGACAAGAGGTAATATAAGCCCCTAATTTATTAATTGGTGTAGGGTGGCTTTGTAAATCTCTTTATGATACTATAAGGAGGTGGGAAGTTCAGAAGATGATGTACTCTTCTTTTTCGAAAGTATTCACAGAGAGTGAATGGCCACCGATCCAAAATGTTATGGCAGCACATTTCCTACATCAGCAGGGAATCAGACTAGACAACTTTTGATGTTGTGGCAACTCATGTGATTCTGTGAATTAGTCACTAGGATCCGTGTATGTGTGTGTGCGTGTTTATCTTTTCCTAGAGAAAGTAGCTTCTATTAAAATTCATGCCGCAATAAATCTGTCAGTCTTTAAGCTGACTCAAGACTTTTCTGTTGTTTCTGATGAGCGATCTGCCCCTAAGGAAATGAAATTCAAGCATGCAGAGTGCAAAGGCATTCTGGTATTATATGGTAATACACTTCTTAGATGTGTATGGTTGTATGACTGCATGTCCAGAACGTGTGTACATGGAAACCCTTTCACTGTACAAAGAAAACATGCTTCTCAGGACAGGCAGTTGCATAAGAAATAGCTGGTGCTCCCTCACCTTGAGATGGATGTAGCAGTCCTTTAGCTCTGATTGTCTGACCAGAGGTCCTTCCACGGGGCCAAACTGTGTGCGTTTGGGAATGCGCCGCTTGGAAAACACGCCTCCTAAGAACCGGTCGATGTAAAGCACTAAGGGGAGGCTGGCTCTTGCTCTTGTCAGCACTGGTCTGTTTGGGATTGGGTGTAAGGGACCGTGTTTGGGGCAAACGGAAGGATGTGCGTTATTGCACTCTTCACACCCTGAAAGACACAGAAATGCGCCATGAAAGAAAGAAAGAACATAGACCTTAACAACTCCAATCCAGAGACTTGTGTTTAGCATCCTTTGGAATTGTAGTCAGTGACATGATCCTCTTTCTAAACCAGCCTTCTCCAGTGTGTTCTTTCTAGTTGTTTTGGACATCAGCCTCCCTAATTCCGATTGACGATTCATGCTATCTGAGACTGGAGAATGACATCTGGAGGCACCAGGCTGGAGAATACTAGTCTGAAGAACATTTCTATTTGAAATGGATGCCACTTAAGAGTTAAACACAGCGTGTGAAGGATGTCCCTTAGCTGAAACCAATCAATAACACTCCACTACATTTAGATAAGTGAAGTAGGAAAAAAGAGGGAGGCTGCCAGTCTCCTCTCTACCTCCCTTTGTCTGAGGGACATCAATAGTAGTAGTAGTAGTAGTAGTAGTAATAACTTTATCTGTATACCGCCCTATCTCCCCAAGGGGGCTCAGGGCAGTTTCCACCATATACAGCAAAACATTCAATTGCCAGGAAGGAAAATGATACAAATTAAAATAAATATCATAAAACATAAAATCCTACTAAAACATACATATATATATATATATATATATATTTAAAAAACAATTACATTATAGCTGCATCAGACGAGTTCAAAATACCAATGGCCAGGATTACAAAATAGACGTGGTAACCATAAAAGGGCTGGGCAAGGGATAGTGCAGCAGTGTATCATAGGGCCGTGGAGGTGAATAAAGTGCAGAACAGAATACAATCTGATGGCCTAAGGAAGAGCCTAGGGGCTAATCATTCTCGAAAACTTGCTGGAACATCTAGGTCTTCAGGTCCCTATGGAAGGAGCACCCAGTGGCACAGTGGGTTAATTCGCTGAGCTGCTGAACTTGCTGATTGAAAGTTCACAGGTTCGAATCTGGGAAGCAGGGTGAGCTCCTGCTGTTAGCCCCAGCTTCTGCCAACCTAGCAGTTTGAAAACATGCAAATGTGAGTAGATCAATAGGTACCGCTCCGGTGGGAAGGTAACGGCACTCCATGCAGTCATGACCTTGGAGGTGTCTACGGACAATGCCAGCTCTTCAGCTTAGAAATGGAGATGAGCACCAACCCCCAGAGTCGGACATGACTGGACTTAATTTCAGAGAAAACCATTTTTCTTTTTTTGTAATATGAATAAACTTGTAAAGAATGCGAATAGATAATATTGAAATATGTCACTATAATGTATGCCTACAATAGACAAGTATTATCTGTTCAAATATGTTATTATTTTTCTTTCTCAATAAAAAAAAGGAAAAAAATTCAGAGGAAACCTTTACCTTTACCTTTACGGAAGGAGGACAGGGGAGGGGGCTTGCCTAATCTCCCTAGGAAGGGAGTTCCAAAGTCGGGGGGCCACCACCAAGAAGGCCCTCTCCCTCGTCCCCACCAACCATGTTTGTTACAGTGGCAGGAGCAAGACAAAGGCCTCCCTGGCATATCTTAGAGCCCACGCCGGTTCATAGGGGGAGATGCCATCACAAAGATAGGCAGGGCCTGAACTGTTTAGGGCTTTGTAGGTCATAACCTGCACCTTGAATAGGGACTGGCAACTTATCGACATAGTGTGCTCCCTATAGTTAGTTCCAGTTAACTATATGATGTAGTTTAATTTTATCTTTTATCTTAAAGATTTCGTAAGGGGAAGAGATGTACATCCACTCAGAGGAAGATGCTTAAGGTACTGGGAGTCTTTCCTGACATTACTCTCCATTTTCCTTCTACAAAACAATCTGGCAATATTGAAAAGTTTTGAACATCTACCATTCATTAATGAAATGGATTCATCCCATTCTACTAACATTTGAAGGCTTGTTCCTGACCCAACATCTGGCTGAGCAGTGATAGCCTCAAGCCCATTGGTCTAGTCCAGGCATCTTCAAACTGTGGCCCTCCAGCGGTTTTGGCCCCCAACTCCCAGAAGCCCTTGACAGCTTGTTCATTGGCCAGGAATTCTGGGAGTTGGGAGGTCCAAACAGCTGGAGGGCCGCAGTTTGAGGATGCCTGGTCTAGTCTATATTTTGTATTATTCACACAGCAATGGACCCAAGCTTATTCCAGAGCTGGACCCTGAAATATGCACATTCCCAGCATGCACTTCAAACCCAATGCTTTTGGAAATTACAGTTAACAAATTACAATAGGAAACCAGCAAACAGGAAAAGATGGTTAGACAAAATACAAGAATATACTTCCCAATATGCTTACACAGGTCATTGGGATCAAAAGGTCGGGGTGGGTCTGGGTCCCAATCATCCATGTCTGAGTCTTCCCCTTCCTCCTCCTCCTCATCTTCATCATCGTCGTCGTCATCCTCTTCGTCCTCATCCTCGTCATCATCTTCGTCATTTTCTTCTTTTGCTTCCATACTACCCATTGGGTTGTGCAAAGGTTCGAGGGGACCAGTGTCATCCACAGCCTCCATAGGAGGCAAAACCTGGTTGTGAACTGGGATTGACACCTGGAGAAAAAAGATTCAGTAGCTGTGCTGTTATTTGGAACAACAACAAAAATCACAATTCTTGAACTGCAAAATCTCCCATCCTTGTCATGGCAGCATTTTTGTTTCCTCTCAAAATGTAGTGAAGTCCCTATTGAGTGTCATTCTCTTTTTTCTGCCTCTCACTGGAATGGCTCTCCAGCCAAACAAAATTCCAACTAAAACGCACACCTATAGTGCACACTTATTATTGATGGTTACATTCAGAGCTCTGCTCAAATGGGAATGAAAATCATTGGAGAACAAGCCTTGTGTGTAAAAAATATCCACCAAACACTAGGTCAGTGGTTCTCGACCTGTGGGTCCCCAGGTGTTTTGGCCTACAACTCCCAGAACTCCCAGCCAGTTAACCAGCTGTTAGGATTTCTGGGGAGTTGAAGGCCAAAACATCTGGGGACCCACAGGTTGAGAACCACTACACTAGGTAATCAGTAGGGATGTAGAGTCAAGTGTCAGATATAATTTGGGATGATGTCAATGTTGGAGTCAATCAATATATGATAATGACTTCAAAATAGAAACTTATAATATTAAATGTCATCTGTTGTATATTTACTTTTACTGAAGTTTAGCATGAAAATGGGCCAGCTGCACCCGTATCTTGGGAAGTCAGACTTGGTCACAGTGGTCCACACTCCCGTTACATCTAGGATAGACTACTGCAACGCACTCTACGTGGGGCTGCCTTTGAAGACTGCTCGGAAGCTTCAAATAGTCCAACGAGAGGCACTCAGGTTAATAACTGGGTTGGCATACAGAGAGCATACAACTCCCATGTTACACCAGCTCCACTGGCTGCCAGTTTGCTAACGGGCACAATTCAAAGTGTTGGCTTTGGCCTATAAAGCCCTAAATGGCCCCGGCCCAAATTACCTGTCCAAACGCATCTCCCCCTATGTACCATCGCAAAGATTAAGATCCTCTGGGGAGACCCTGCTTTCCGTCCCGCCATTGTCACAGGCGCGATTGGTGGGGATGAGAGACAGGGCCTTTTCGGTGATTGCTCCCCAGCTATGGAACTTCCTTCCTGGTGAGATCAGGTTGGCCTCCTCCCTCCTGTCCTTTAGAAGGATGGTCAAAACTTGGCTGTGGGACCAAGCTTTCGGGACATGACAATAAAGCAGCAATAGGAAAGATTACCAGGCCAATTAGATTTGACACTGATTATTAGGACGGTTTTAAATGGTGTATTTTAATATTTTGATAAATGTTTTTGAATGTTTATGTATGGGTATGTGAATTTGTGTCCTGGCATGAATGTTTGCCGTGTATATGCTGTGCTCTGTCCTGTGTTCCCTAAATAAACCATTGACCATCAGTTAGTACATGGAGCTAATCTTATTTTTGTTTCCTGCTTATATATGCAATTTTCAATACCCTTTCTTTACTATGGCTCCAAAAATGTTGCTGGAACCCAAATCAATGCATTTTCTGATCCCTCCTTCATCATCCTCCCCTTACTGATGCAGCTAAAAAGTCCTGCCAGATAGTGGATGAGGTGGAAAGGGAGGTGGCTGGCATAAAAAAGACTGGTTAAAAGGATCTTCTTTGTCAGGCTTTGCCAACTAAACTCTGCCTCAATTTAGCAGAACTAAAAGTATGCCTGTATTTAATAGAAAGAGGGGCTGAGTCCAATGAATGCACTGAATCAGCAAACGTTTGAATGTTCAGAATGACTCTTGGCAACTCAACATTCGCTGTTCCTTATTCTGTCATGAAGTGGAGCCACCCAGGGTCTCCATTTTCCACTTTAATGAGTTTGACATTATAATGTGCCCTTAAAACAATTCTGCCTATAATTTTGTCGCTCCATGAAAGAAGAGAAAACAACACCCAACGCACTTAAAACATAGCGTTCAGTTAAGAAACATGTTAATTAAAATCTAAAACCTTAATAACTAAAAGTCAGCTGAAGGACAGCGGGTGCCCTGGTTGGAAAGAAGGCTGTATATGATTTTAGACAAAGAGAAAAGTTAAGTGGCCATTATGCGCAGAAAGTCAGAACAATGTGTCTAGGGAAGCCTCTCAAAGGGAACCTAAGGAATAAGCCAACACCAATGAATCACAAAACCGTGCGGAGTTCCACTTATAAATGAAATCCCAAGGAGATGTTTAACTAGCACTGCAGGTTAGTAAACTCTTTGTTGCTGTTTTTCATTTGTTTTTAAAATAACCAAACAAATCCAAATTCTGGGCAAAAGTTGCTCAGATTTTCCTTTAAAGGTGAATAAATCATGCAGTCTGAGTAAACTGTGTGCAGCAAATAAATGTTCACACACCAATCTTGTTCAAGAAGCAAAGTTGACCGCTGAATCCAATGCCTGTCTGATGTTATGAATGGATAATCAAGTATGGTTTATGAACCCAACTTGATGGGGTTTGTTTTAGAATCAAAATTTGAAGAGAGGTATCTCTGAAATCCTGGTGGCACAGTGGGTTAAACCACTGAGCTGCTGAACTTGCTGACCGAAAGGTTGGTGGTTTGAATCCAGGGAGCAGGGTGAGCTCCCACTGTTAGGCCCAGCTTCTGCCAACCTATCAGTTCAAAAACATGAAAATGTGAATAGATCAATAGGTAACACTTCTGCAGGAAGGTAAAAGCGCTCCATGCAGTCATGCTGGCCACATGACCTTGATGGTGTCTATGGACAACGCCGGCTCTTCAGCTTAGAAATAAGATGAGCACCAGCCCTCAGAGTTGGACACGACTAGACTTAATGTCAGGGAAAAACCTTTATCTATCTCTGAAACTGTGTCTCCAGGCCTTTTCGAGAGTCCCACATTCAGTTATGTGACTCTATATTTGACTCACAGTTTAAGAAGCTTTGTTCTAGAGCACTCTGTGGCATTTTATATTTATTCCGCCAAATGTGAGGATCTGGCTCTATCTCTATTGCCAGCAAATGTGAAGGTTTTCCCTAATCTCTACCTCTGCCACAAATGGGAACACCTCTTCTTTTTTTTTGAATAATTTATTCAAAAAAACACACCTCTTTTTGTCCTGTCACATTGGCCATCAACAGTGGAGACCAACTAGATGCCTTCAAGGATTCAGTGTGAGATTTTATCCAACTTCTATCCCCACTGGTCACAACCCTCTTCATGACACAAATTATTAAACAGAAATGTAGAATATTATGCAGATCATCTATATAAATAAAAATGTAATGTTCGTTTGTGGGATTAACATAACTCAAAAACCACTGGATGAACTGAAACCAGATTTGGACACAATACACGTATCAGGCCACAGGCCAACAAATGACCATCACTCATAAAAACACTGAAAAATACAGTGGAAGAGACTTTAAAAGCCAAAAATTCAAAATTACATTATAATGCATGCGCAAAACAACATATATACACATATACACAAATATATACACAGTCACACACAAATACACAAATATACACACACAAAACACATATAAAAATAAAATTCCTCTGTTTTCTGAGGGCCACAGCAACGCGTGGCAGGGGACAGCTAGTCTATATAAATAAAAATGTAATGTTCGTTTGTGGGATTAACATAACAATTACTGGATGAATTTGGACACAATACACCTATCAGGCCAATGAGTGACCATCACTCATAAAAACACTGAAAAACACAGCAGAAGAGACTTAAAAAGCCAAAAAACAAAAATTACATTACATTGCATGCGCAAAACCACACACACACACATATACACAAACACACACATATACATATACACAAATATATACACACACATATACACACAAAACATATATACACAGACTGAGCCACAGCAACACGTGGCAGGGGACGGCTAGTTATTTAATAAATATCATTCACGTCTCTCACTCTCTCTCCCCCTTAATTCCCAGCGAATACAAACCCAAGCTCTAACTCTCCTGCCCTAAACCCACTCGCTAATCCCTAAACCAGATTCAACTCTCTCTCCCTCATCCCTGACCAACTGCCATATGCCAAGCTTTTCAAAAATCCTCTCACCAATCACCACACACCATTTCAATCTCATCACCCTCTCAATAGATCCTTACCTTATTACATTTAATGCATAAAACATAACCCTTTAACACATCTAGTAAACAAAGCAACGTTTTCCCCTTCATAACTCATTATATCACAACCCCTACCAACTTACTTGTCCCTAACCAGAAGGAGCCTTTCCATAATGAGAAAGTGCATCCATTCCTTCTACCTGTTCAAGTAAAGACCTAGTTTTGTAAGAAGGTCATACAGTATTTTCTTGTCAGGCTCATATCTTTTCCTTAATTGACTAGTGAGAAATATTGCTTCAGTTGAAGCAATGTCAGTTTCACGTCCAGTTCCCAGTGTCAAGATCTCGCTCCTTCTTGGTTGTTCTACAGATTATGCCTTAGTTCTGTACATGGATTCAAGTGCCTTTGCTTTTGTTTTGTTTATGAATTCAAGAGCCTAGTTTCATAGATGTCTCTGGACCTTTTATTCCTGTTTCTTTTTATATCAATTGGATTACTTTTTACTGGATTATTTTGAATTGCTTGGAGCTTTTTATATTCTCAATAAACTGCTTGCTGATTTTACCCAGCTGGTGCGGTGTTTAAATATTTATAATATTATAATGTAATGCTATATAATACTACTAATAATAATAATAATATGATATTATAATTATATATTTATATTACATGTAATATTACTAATAATGTTACAATATAATTGGTATAGTACAATATAGCAATATTTAAAACTGATATTGTACTATGCTAATAAAAATAATATATTGTATGTATGTATACCTTGTAATCCACTCGAGTCCCCTTCGGATTGAGAAGGGCAGCATATAAATGTCATAAATAAATAAATAATAAATATAGTCAGAGGTGACTCTGCTCTGGAGTACGACAATATCAATAAAGTCTCTTTTTGGTTTCAGAATGATAGGCAGACAATTAGAGTAGGGTGGATTGCCAATGAACCTCCCAACAAGTTAGGGCCCAGTATGTCTATACACATGATAGTAATTCAACCTCGCTAGGAAACTGGGTGTTTGAGCAGATGAACCTGATATAGAAAGGAGAAAGTGTCAATGAAATTTAGAGAATATGTCTTCTGAGTTCTGTAATGCTGATACAAAAAGAGCAGGTATCACAAATGGTTACGGAAAAGATGCAATTGTGTGTGTGTGTGTGGGGGGGGGGGGGGTTGTTGCACTCCAGGTCAGGAAAAAACCCTCTGACTTTAAGACATGCCACACAATGAGTGAAGAAACAAATCCTCTTTTATTGAAGCTTAGTGAATTGCCAGTAATGAGTCAGTAAAATGCAGTAACACAAAGCAATGTCCACACAAGATATAAAAGCAGTTCCAAGGCAGTGTTTATCCAGGCAGGATTCAACAGGAAGCAAAGACAATCCAAAAGGCTAAAATTCTCCACATGAACAAGACCCCTTGAACAGGATTTCCATGGCACATGAACTTGATTTCCAAAGGATGCCTGATCCAACAGGTTTCTCTAAAAGCAAACCTTATATCTTAAAAACCAGAAATTGGTTTTGCTTTCCCCCACACTTGCCCCTTATCTGACGAAGCCTTTCGGAGCGACATAAACACTGAGTTTGCTGTCGATCCTGGCTGATCTCCAACCGCCTATCCTTCAACTCCCTATCTGGCTGCTCATTAAAATTTCCAGGTGTCAGGTTGTTTTCCAAACCCAAATCTTGAGAGCTCAAAGAAAGAGGGAGTGAACCATGATCCTGAGGCTCAGCAGAAATATTCTCATGAGAAACTGCCCTTTGCACTGGGGCCTCTCTGTCATTGTCTGTATGAACATCATTGACCAAACCATCTTCATCTCGCACCTCAGCCTCAGCCTCAGCTTCAGCCTCGGCACCATCATTACTCTCATCATAAGTATCATGATCCTGGAACACAAACACAGGCTGATTCCCAAAAGGGGTATTTATATATTCATTCATCCATCTGTCCTACCCTATTTTCTCATCTATCTATCTATCTATCTATCTATCTATCTATCTATCTATCTATCTATTAATGGTCAATGCTCCTCACATTTCCTGTTCTGGGCAAATGGCCTAGCTACATGATACACTCACCCCAGAAAAAGAAGCCAAGTTTTGACTTTTGAGCATCCTAAGGCATCCTCCCAACAGTTGCCCACTGAGAAGCTGAAGACACCTTGTTTGACGTCATACTAAAAAAGAAAGGGAAACTTCAGTTATCTCATTCAGCTCATCTCCACTGTCAACTGGGGAGTCAAGGGAGATCAGATAAGTGAGATAGACAGGAAACATACATACCCACCAAGCAATAGTCTCTCTTTCTCTCTCAGTATGACTTCACATTACAACCTTCCAAGTTCATTTGACTGTCAGGAAGATGCCTTCAGAATCTTCAAACAAGTGGTACCCCGCTATCTACTGTATTCGAGTGTCCTAGAATCCGAAGCTGACGTTGATCACTCTAATAAGCCATTAACACAGTTGTCAAATGATTTTGAGTCACTACTTCTGCACAATGGCAGAGGAGCTTAAAACTAAAAGTATCCCAATTCTTGCCACCCCAATAATCTGGTTTCCAAAAGCGCCAGAGATGATCTGAAAAGCTAGTGCTTCGCAAAGAGAGACTTCATTCCCCCTTTTTCGCCTCTTCAGATCCTTACTTCCCCGAGCCCTCAATTTCATGCTACTCCTAGTCAATTTCACACTAGTGAGCACATCAAGCAGGAAACCAGGACTATATACATCATGACACATCAGCAAGTAATTGGAATTTTTGGCTTTCACAGTGATATCCCAAAATAAAAACTCCCCACAAAAAGGTTCTGCCAATATAAAAGAACTCTCTTCTAAAATGTGTAGGAGCACAAATTAAAAAAAGACTGAATGGGTTTATTTTTTTCATTTAAATGAAAGGTAGAGAGGTATATTTTCAGAATAGAAAGAGCTGTGTTAAGCAATGTTCTTACTCTTCTTAAACTTGTGTTATAGGGAACTAACCTTTACACTCTAACTGGCTTTTTAACTGGTGAGAACATTTAAAAAAAATTAGATTACATATGTGCAATCACAGTTGAGTTGTATAGCTATAGGTGAACAGGGCTAAATTTATTTTTCCTTTTTCTATGATCTTTGCCCGGTTTTTTGTTGTTTATTTTTGTTTTTGCAGAGGCAATAACAAAACAAATTATCATTATTATTTGAAACATAACAAGATTAGTATTCATTTACGATATTTATATGCCACCCTTCTRACCCTGAAGGGGACTCAGAGCGGCTTACAAGGTATGTATGTATGTATYTATYTATGTATATATATATGTATGTGTYTATATGTATGTATATATATATYTATATATATATATATATATATACACACACATACATACATACATATATACAATATATTACAATATATTATATTATTAGTATAGTACAATATCAGTATTAAATATTACTATATTGTACTATACCATTATTTTGTAATATTATTAGTAATATTACATGTAATATAAATATATAATTATAATATCATATTATTAGTAGTGGTGCAATGGGTTAAACCCTCATGCCGGCAGGACCGAAGACTGACAMGTCACAGGTTCGAATCCGGGGAGATCGCGGATGAGCTCCCTCTGTCAGCTCCAGCTCCCCATGCCTCCCACAAGGATGTTAAAACACCAAAACACCTGGGCGTCCTTGACGACAGCCAATTCTCTCCCACCAGAAGTGACTTGAAGTTTCTCAAGTCGCCCCTGACACAAATTATTATTATTATTATTATTATTATTATTATTATTATTATTATGTTTATATTTATGTATACCACGCTTTTTCTTTTCACAGGGAGAGAAATAGGCCTGCTATTAAGCAGTCATGAGAGGCAAGGTCTTCTTGCAGCCCAACTTCCAATCTACTTATGCTTAGCCCATCAGTATTTGTATTTCTATGAATTTTGAAGACCTTCCCTTTCAATGTTGTCTTTCAATAAGATATAACAACTTGCACCATCAGATAAAAGTTTTTCAAATATTGTGCACCATCTTTCTACATATTCAACCATTACAGGGACAGAAATGAAAACCAACTTTTAAATAAAGAAATGAGTTTATTCACCATGCAAAACAATGCCTGTGCCATACAATTTTTGGTAATACTGTCTAGCCTGAGAGATAACTGAGAATATTCAGAAGCACACTAGTGGAGTCGATCTCTTGCAAAATAAGTCCTTACATCGTTCATTGATGAACTTACATAAGGATCAACAAATCTTTACCTGCTGGGCCTTACCTGCTGCGTAGACGCATCCTGCTGGACGTATGTCACTTGGGACGGATCTGTAAACAGAGTCTGAAGAAAATGATATAATATTATAAAAATGTACCATTTGGAAGTCTGAAGATCACAGTGACTGGATAACTCTATTGCTAGGGAAGTGACACTGGGCCCAACAGAAAATTTATTCCATATTCATAATACCAATCACTTTGGTCACTATAAAGAGATGGAATATGGATTTCACTATCCCATCCACATTATGTGGAATTCACTCATGGCTCCTATAAAGTGTGAGATAATGATGTTTCCTTTGTACATGATTTTTCTCTAGAAAGCACTAACAAGGCTATGAAGCCATAGCCAATTATTTGCAGTCACATCCAACTTTGAAAGCATACTCTACATGGACATTTAGACCAAGCATAAAGAGAAAGAAAAGGCACCAAGATGTGCTGTCATTAGGGCCAGATAAATAAATGAAAAATAAATGAGAAGAGCAGATAGTCCTAAAATATTTTGAAAAAAATATAAGCTGGAGTTTGGAAATCAATAGGTTAACATTTCATTACAAAACAGGGGTATTCAAACAGTGTTGCAGAAAGTTCCTTGAAGAGTATTTTATTAGAAGAACTGGAAGTTTACTTGCAGCTACTGATCTTTTCTAGGAGGGTTGTGTGTGTGTTATGCTTGTATTTTCAGCTCCTATGTGTCACATGAATGCCTGGCCAGTAGGTTATATGAAAAGGCAAAGGAGGTAGAACAATACAGCTGGGAGGAGGACTCACTTTCAATCCCCAGCATCTTCGGGGCTACAAAAGACTCTAGAGCAGTGGTTCTCAACCTGTGGGTCCCCAGATGTTTTGGCCTTCAACTCTCAGAAATTCCAGCTGTTAGGATTTCTGGAAGTTGAAGGACAAAACATCTGGGAACCCACAGGTTGAGAGCCACTGCTCTAGAGTAAATAGCCTCTGCAAGTCATTCGAAACCAGATGTCAACCACCTGCAAGCCCACAAAGCTTGTTTTGTGGCGTTCAACTACTCCAGATTCCCCAAACTATTCTTTTTCTTGCCCCCATTCCCAAAAGAGGGAGTGGCAATAAAAATTTAAATATTGGTTGAAGCTCCTCAAAGGATGACTTAACATAAACAAAATACTTGGTTTTCAAAACCAAATGTGGACCTCACTAGTTTGTTTTTCATATAGTTATAATTCGTGTTTATATGTTGGGTTGTTTAAATTTTGTTAGTATGGATGTATTGTTGTTGTATTCGGAGACTGAATGGTTGCATTTTATATTTGGAATCCAATAATAAAGATGATGATGATGATGATGATGATTATTATTATTATTATATTTGTAATAAAGTTAGGTAAAGGTTTTCCCCTGACATTAAGTCCAGGTGTGTCTGACTCTTGGGGTTGTTGCTCATGTCCATTCCTAAGGCAAAGAGCTTCGTGCTATTGCTCCCTCAGCGTTCTTGTCCCAGGAGTTTCTCCCCCCGCCCTCCCACCCCCCCATACGTAGGTTGTTTATTATCCTGTCTCTCCATGAATTCTCCCTACAATTAGTTTTACCCCTTTATCTCACTCGGAGTTTTTAAATCATTTTATATACATGCGGCCCACTCTTTGTCCTTATGTTCGGTTTTTATGTTCTATGTATATTGTTTATATGCTTTGATGTTTTATACTTTAATGTTATGTTGTTTATTTTATTGTAATTTTGTATTTTTAATTATTATTTTTTTGTATTGTAATCTGTTGTTTGGGCTTGGCCCCATGTAAGCCACTCCTAGTCCCCTTTGGGGAAGATGGTGGCGGGATATAAATAAAGATTATTATTATTATTATTATTATTATTATTATTATTATTACCCTTTTCTTTCTCTTCTGCTGTGTCTCTTTTCTTCCTTCTCTCTTTCTTTCCTTCCCTCCCTCTTTCCTTCCTTCTTTCCCTTTTTTCTTCCCTTCTCTCCTTTCTTCCTTCTCTAACTTTCCTTCCTTCCCCTTTTTTCTTTCTCTCCTTTCTTCCTTCTCTACCTCTTTCCTTCCTTCCTTCTCCCTTTCCTTCTTTCTTTCCCTCCCTCTTGCTTTCTTTTTTTTCTTTCTTTCTTTTTTTCTCCCCTTCCCTCCCTTTTTTCTGTATTGTCATTTAGCTTTTCGTCATTTAGTTTTTTGGGTCTTTTAAAGTCCCTTCTGCTGTGTTTTACAGTGTTTTTATGAGTGAAGGACATACATTGGGTTGTTAGGTGTCTTGTGTCCAAATTTGGTGTCAAATCGTTCAGTGGTTTTTGTGCTATGTTAATACCACAAACGAACATTTATTTTTTCATTTTATTTATATAAATTATTGTTATTGTCCGTAGAGAACTCCAAGGCCATGTGTCTGGCATGACTGCATGGAGTGCTGTTATCTTCCCGCCAGAGCGGGACCTATTGAGATACTCACATTTGCATGTTTTTGAACTGCTAGGTTGGCAGAAGCTGGGGCTAATAGTGGGGGCTCATGCCGCTCCCCGGAATCGAACCTGCAACCTTTTGGTATGCAAGTTCAGCAGCTCAGTGCTTTAACCCAGTGCGCTACCGAGAGCTTCATATTTGTAATATAAAAAGTATATTCGTAACATAAAAATAGTCCATTTGGCCCCAGAAAGATTCAGGAGAAGAAAATGGTCCCTGGTTGCTTCACAAACAACACTCTCTTAGCTACCTCCTCCATCCCCTCCTGTGAGTCTGTCCCTCAGAACAAGCTCCAAAGCCTCTCCAAAGCACAATGATTACATGGAAGGCATCTTGAGTTCCTTGGCAAACAAAACCACATGGAAGACATTCCTTTAAGAAAGAAAGCTTGGAAACCACCGTTGCAAATGAATAGATCTGGTTACTTAGAGATAATAGGTTAGCACCAGAGTTAGAAAAGTGGGTGGTTCATTAGTAGTCGCCCGCACACTGCTGCCCAAATAAGGATTGAAGCAGTGATTAATTAAGAGCCTCCATCTTTTAGAGAATACCATGACTGATGAAATTGCACGCTGGCTACTGCTGTTGTCTTTTGAAGACGAAGAAAAAATAAGACTTAATTTCCCCCAGTTTCGGGGAAACGAGAAGGACAGGGCTTCACATTCAATAGGTTGCCACCAGCTTTTGATTACAACATCTGCACTCTCATTTAGAACGCAAAGTCCACACTCCCCCTTTGCCGATGCTGAGATGATTATGCACAGCTGAGAGCTATTAGGCATTCACACAGCTTGGCAGGCAGCTGGACCCCATTGTGGCGGACATTCTTGCCCTCCACAGCCGTGAATAGGCAGAACCCGAGGGGGGGGGGAGGTGTCACATGCCTGAGTGCCTTCCACAGGATGGATGTAAACCAGCGTATGCTCTGACGTATCCACCGAGGTGTAAGATGTGCCGTCGGCGGTGTAGACCACTTGTTGGGAGGGACGGTCCTGATCATCGCTGTACACGATCTGAGCCACAGTTCCCCCTTCAGGGACAAAGTGAACCTGGAAAGATGTGGAAAGGAGGGGGAAGAAGTCAAGAATAACTACATGGAAGCATCTAGTCAGAAAGTTTCTAGGTAAGGATGCATGGACCACAGTCACTGTCACATATGCAGGCAAAAGAAATAGCACAATGTGTTGTCGAAGGCCTTCATGGCTGGAATCGCTGGATTGCTGTGAGTTTTTCAGGCTGTATGACCATGTCCCAGAAGCATTCTCTCCTGATGTTTTGCCTACATCTATGGCAGGCATCCTCAAAGGTTGAGAGGTCTGTTGGAAGCTAGGCAAGTGAGGATTATATATCTGTGGAATGTCCACGTTGGAAGAAAGAACTCTTATCTGCTTGAAGCAAGTGTGAATGTTGGAAATGGCCACCTTAATTAGCATTTAATGGCCTTGCAGCTTCAAAGTCTGGCTGGTTGCTGCCTGGCGGGGGTCCTTTGTTGGGAGATTTTAGCTAGCCCTGATAGTTTCTTGTCTGGAATTTCCCTGCTTTTTGAGTGTTGCTCTTTATTTACTGTCCTGATTTTAGAGTTTTTAAAGACAAATTAAAAAAACACAAATCAAGGAACATGAAAGGCACTGCAGGATAATTCAACCTGAGAAGTGAGAGCCATAGCAGAGCGCCTGATGAACCAACCTGGACACAGTATATTATTTGAGAACACAGAAATGCTGGGCTACTCTAACAACTACCATGTCAGACAATACAGAGAAGCCATTGAAATTCACAAGCAGGTGGACAATTTCAACAGAAAGGAGGAAACCATGAAAATGAACAAAATCTAGCTATCAGTATTTTAAAAAACTCTAAAATCAGGACAGTGAATAAAGAAGAGCACTCAAATAACAGAGGAATTCCAGACAAGAATCAATCAGGGCCAGCTAACACCTCCCAACAAAGGAGGTCAATAGGAGCATAGTGTCTAGATCCAGGGAAGTAATGCTACCCCACTATTCTGCCTTAGTTAGACAACACCTGGAATATGGTGTCCAATTCTGGGCACCACAATTGAAGAGAGATGTTGACAAGCTGGAATGTGTCCAGAGGAGGGCGACTAAAATGATCAAAGGTCTGGAGAACAAGATCTATGAAGAGCGGCTTAAGGAGCTGGGCATGTTTAGTCTGAAGAAGAGAAGCCTGAGAGGAGATATGATAGCCATGTATAAGTATGTGAGAGGAAGTCACAGGTAGGAAGGAGCAAGCTTGTTTTTTGCTGCCCTGGACACTAGGACGCAATGAAACAATGGCTTCAAACTACAAGAAAGGAGATTCTATCTGAACATGAGGAAGAACTTCCTGACTGTGAGAGCCATTCAGCAGTGGAACTCTCTGCCCTGGAGTGTGGTGGAGGCTCCTTCTTTGGAAGCTTTTAAACAGAGGCTGGATGGCCATCTGTCAGGGGTGATTTGAATGCAATATTCCTGCTTCTTGGCAGAATGGGGTTGGACTGGATGGCCCATGAGCTCTCTTCCAACTCTATGATTCTGTGATTTCTCCAGGCAGCAACCAACCAGGCTTTGAAGCTGCAAGACCATTAAATGCTAATCAAGGTGGCCACTTCCAACATTCACGCTTCCCTTAAGCAGACAAGAGTTAGTTCTTCCAACCTGGACATTCCACAGATATATAAACCATACTTGTCTATTTTCCAACAGACCTCTCAACCTCTGAGGCGATGCCTGCCATAGATGTGGGCAAAACATCAGGAGAGAATGCTTCTGGAACATGGCCAGACAGCCTGGAAAACTCACAACAACCCAAATAGCGCAATGATAGTCTAGGGCTGTTGAAGGAGAAACAACAACTAAAGATACCACTTCCAGAGACAATCTGGAAATAAACTACTAGGTGCTTAGTCCAAAACTGAGTTAAACTGGAGTATATAGATTAAAAACAATGCAATCTATTATGCTTTCTAAGAACAAACACTGTGCCTTTAGCAAAACATGGCAGTCAGAGACCCAGTGCACACAGCACTCGCTGGCATCCTGGTTGAATTTCTATCTGTTTTGCAGCTGTTAAATGTACAAAAATGTACAAAAACTCTTTATCAAGGGGAAAGACCAAAGCTCTAGGAATAGTTGGACAAAGCAAATTAGATCCTTATCACTCATCATCAATGGATTTTTAGTATCTTGGCTCCCTTGTTCAAGACTCAATTACTTTGCCTGCAAGAGTCCATGAGATGGTACCTTTTTTTAAAATTCAGTGAGGGAGGCTTGCAGATTGTATGATAAAGACCTCACCAAAGGCCCTGCCAATGTGACTCAATTAACCCCAATGCAAGCTTTCACTTCTGGGAACCTGCACACTTAGGTAAAACTCTTCAGAGCATCAAAGTGTAAAGTCAGGCAAATCTTTGTCTCATGCAAAAATCCAACAGCAAAGGATTTTTTTAAGTATCCAGTAAGGAACACGGTACTGAACGAAAATTATGGTCGTCTGCTATGTCTTGACGCAAGACAATGTTAGGGAATCCCTGTGAAATTTAGGCATTTTAGAATGTTATTGCTTCTAGTCACCTGTGCAGTACTCTCTTCCTGTTCAGCAGCTTCAGACCACACCTGTGTGGTTTCTTCCTTCAAGTCCATATCATCTCTACTGTGGGGTTCCATGGTGTGATAGCAGATTATAGAAACCGAGCTTGTGTGAATAGATTCATCTCTCTGCTATGTTTTGACACAAGATAATCTTCCGTACCATGGCTATAGAGAAAGACAGAAGAGAAGAGAAGGGTGGAGAGAGATGATATATTGAAGCATGAAATGCATTGAGAAGTCCTCGGTGGCACAATGGGTTAAACCCATGTGGCAGCAGGACTGAAGACAGACAGGTCAGAGGATCGAATCCGGGGAAGAGATCCCAAATGTCACCCAGTAAAATCCTGTCACCAAAGCACTCCCAACAGATGGCCATCCAGCCTCTGTTTAAAAACCTTCAGAGAAGGAGATTCTATCACACTTGGAGGATATGAATGCCACCATTGAACAACTCCTGGTGGCGCAATAGGTTAAACCAGGGGTCCTCAAACTAAGGCTCGGGGGCCGAATGCGGCCCTCCAAGGTTTTACCCGGCCCTCGCTCAGGGTCAACCTAAGTCTGAAATGACTTGAAAGCATACAACAATAACAACAACAACAACAACAACCCTATCTCATCAGCGAAAAGCAGGTCCATACTTCCCATTGAAATACTAACAACTTTATATTTGTTAAAAATGTTCTTCATTTTAATTATTGTATTTTTAAGTGTTTTTGCACTACAAATAAGATATGTCATTGTGCATTGGAAATCATTCATTTTTTAAAAATTATAATGCGGCCCTCCAACAGTTTGAGGGAGTTTGACTTGGCCTTCTGTTTAAAGATTAAACCACTGCGCCAAAAGGACTGAAGACCGACAAGTCAGAGGTTCAAATTTGGGGAGAGCGTGGATGAGCTCCCTCTGTCAGCTCCAGCTCCCCATGCGAGGGCATCAGAGAAGCCTCCCACAAGGATGGTAAAACATCAAAACATCCAGGCGTCCCCTGGGCAACGTCCTTGCAGATGGCCAATTCTCTCACACCAGAAGTGACTTGCAGTTTCTCAAGTCGCTCCTGACATGACAAAAAAATAAAATGCATTACACTAATATTTGCTGTTTGTGACAACGGGCAATGAAGCTTCCCTACCCATATAATTAGTACAGACACGAATACAGCTCTAATACTGGTGTATAGAAAGGAGAATTAATTGTTTTCCATTTTCAGTCCTATGGGACCATGTCACAATGGAGAAAGAACAAAACTAAACACTGTGAGGAGGCGCCAAGAGCAACAGGTTTGTTTAGGCACAACAAAATAGTATCCACAAGCACATCCCAGAATCATGGAAAGATATAGGCACTTTCCCACATTCAACCTTTGACCAATTGTGGTGATGGACCATGAAGATTGCAAATCATCTTGATGTGGTCAAATTCTGATACTTTCCCCAAGAGATGCTTCAATCAGTCTTTTATACATGCAAGGCTTCCTATGTAATAGAAGCCCCTGGTGGTGCAGTGTGTTAAACCCTTGTGCCTGCAGGACTGATGACCAACAGGTCGGAGGTTCGAATCCGGGGAGAAGGCGGATGAGCTCCCTCTGTCAGCTCCAGCTCCCCATGCGGGGACATGAGAGAAGCCTCCTACAAGGATGGTAAAACATCAAAAGATCTGGGCGCCCCTTGGGCAACATCCTTGCAGGCAGCCAATTCTCTCACACCAGAAGCAAGTTGCAGTTTCTCAAGTCACTCCTGATACAAAATACAAAAAATCCTATGCAATCCACACTGAACCTTCTGGATGCTGTATTATGGGAGCTGTAATCCAAAAGTATACTTCCAAACTCTGCTCTACTCTCAATGGCTTTATGCTTGAGTCCCCGTTGGGGAGATGGTGACATAAAGATTATTATTATAAAGATGATGATGATGATGATGATGATGATGATGATGATTACTATGCTCCTGACAATATCAAGCTCACTATCTTTTTGTGAGGGAAAGCCACAATGGTATTTTTTGAATGCTAACTGGCAGCTGACAGTGAACATCGCTAAGACTGTTGACAAGAACAGGTCTATGAAGCCATAAGGTTTCCTTATTCAGAGACAAAAGGACATTTCTGTTATGAAAGTATCCTTTATTATTGAAATATGCAGCATTCTGGATGCTGAACATTATATTTAAGATGATATAATAAAATTCTACAGAAAAGAAATGTTTATAAAATTATTTCCTTCCTTACTGCATGTCCTAGGCAGCAGCTGATGGCAGCTTCCACGTCAAAAACATTGTGCACTCCAAAATAGTTTCAGCACCTTGGATAGCTCTTTCAAATTTCAGATTAAACATCACAGGAGATTCACTGTTCCAGTGTTTGGAAGCCACCAGCTACTACCACTCCTAAATCCTTGTCAATTCGTATTGAAGACAACAAAGATTATAAACAAATAACTTCTTGGGATATATACACCAAAAGAGCTTGTAGGGGACACAAAATCAGATCTGAATGGAAGTTTAGAATGCAGTATTTGCATTTATGCTGACCAGGAGGGGGTGCTCTGTAGTAATAGTGTTTGTGGTATATTTACAAGCTGCGCGTCTTACCACTCCGTACTCGTTCACAAAGCACATCATCGCATGATAACAAAAAGTAGCCAGCTCTAAATTTTTTGAAATAACCCCTCTGATACACTATTTAATGGCCATGCATGGCTTCTAGAAGTGATCCCCAGATGACTTCTTCATCCAAGTATCCATTAGGCAACTCTGAACAAGGAACATTACATTCGGATTTGTGTATTACAAAAAATCCCTCACTTTTTAATTTTTTAGTTCAGTACTGTCTCAGTATCCATTATCTGAAGTGCTTAGGATCAGAAGTGCTCTAGATTTTGATATTGGAATGTCTGTACAGTATTTACATATGCATACATCATCAAGGGCAGTGGTTCTCAAAGTTCCTAATGCTGTGACCCTTTATGACCAAAACCCTAGAAATAGTTGGACAAAGCAAATTAGATCCTTATCACTCATCATCAATGGATTTTTAGTGTCTTGGCTCCCTTGTTCAAGACTCAATTATTTTGCCTGCAGGAATCCATAAGATGGTACCTTTTCTTAAAAATACAGTTCCTCATGTTGTGGTGACTCCCAACCAGAAAATTATTTTCATTGCTACTTCACAACTGTCATTTTCCTACTGTTATGAATCGTAATGTAAATATCTGATATGAAGGATGTATTGTTATTCACTGGACTAAATTTGGCACAAACACCCAATACATCCAAATTTGAATACTGGTGGGGTTGGGGGGCTGATTTTGTCATTTGAGAGTTGTAGTTGCTGGGATTTATAGTTAACCTACAATCAAAGAGCATTCTGAACTCCACCAACGATGGAATTGAACCAAACTTGGCACACAAAATTCCCATGACCAACACAAAATACTGGAAGGGTTTGGTGGGCACTGACCTTGAATTTTGGAGTTGTAGTTCACATACATCCAGAGAGCACTGTGGATTCAAACGATGGATCTGAACCAAACTTGACAGAAATACTCTATATTCCCAAATGTCAGCACTGGTGGAGTTTGGAGAAAATAGACATTGACATTTGGGTTTTGACATTTGGGAGTTGTAGTTGCTGGGATTTATAGTTCACCTACAATCAAAGAGCTGGGCATGTTTAGCCTGAAGAAGAGAAGGCTGAGAGGAGATATGATAACCATGTATAAATATGTGAGAGGATGTCACAGGGAGGAGGGAGCAAGCTTGTTTTCTGCTTCCTTGGAGACTAGGATGTGGAACAATGGCTTCAAACTACAAGAAAGGAGATTCTATCTGAACATTAGAAAGAACTTCCTGACTGTGAGAGCCGTTCAGCAGTGGAACTCTCTGCCTCGGAGTGTGGTGGAGGCTCCTTCTTTGGAAGCTTTTAAACAGAGGCTGGATAGCCATCTGTCAGGGGTGCTTTGGATGCAATATTCCTGCTTCATGGCAGGGAGTTGAACTGGATGGCCTATGAGGTCTCTTCCAACTCTATGATTCTATGATTCTATGAAAGAGTATTGTGAACCCCATCAACGATAGAATTGGGCCAAACTTCCCACACAGAACTCCCATGACCAACAGAAAATACTGTACTTTCTTATGGTCTTTGGCGACCCCTCTGACACCCTCTCGTGACCCCCCCCCCCCCGGGGTCCCAACCCCCAGGTTGAGAACCACTGATCTAGGGGATGGGACTCAGATCTAAATCATACACACCTTACACATAGCCTAAGGGTAATATATGTTTGTGTGTGTTGTGCTAAGATTGTGTATACTAAATCTTAAGAAAATCAAATTCCTCAGCCATTCATGTGGATGATTTTGTATTATTTTAGATCAAGGATGCTCGATCTGGATTCAGCTGGCCCCTCCAACTAGTGATTCCCCTTTCACATTCCACCTGTGCTAGTTCCTACTCACAACTGGCATGCTGAAAAACACAGAGAATTCAAATGAAGCTTAAACTCCAATTTCCATAAACCCAGGGATCTTGACAAATTGCTTCTACGTGGGGCTTTATCTGCCCCCTTGCGACTGTAACCGAGCGTCTCAATCTGCCACCGGGAATCTCAGAAGGGTAATTTATAGCTCCACTGATTGGTTCAGACAGTCATTCAGCACCTTCCTAGTCCTCCGTCTCCAGTGTCATTATTAAATCACGGACCTAGGAATTAATGTAAGGCTGAGGCCATTTGATTTTCAGCAAGTACAATTAACTTTATTTTATACTGACTGGATGGGCAAGCTGATCTAATAGTTGGGGACTCTTGCCAAAACACAAGAAACCAAGATAAAAGCTTCTCAGTGGCTCTTCCACGCATTTGAATTTCAAATGCAAATTATTTTTAGACATAATTTATGCCCACATAATGGCATTTGGTTTGTAAATTAAGGAGGGTGGGGAGGAAAACAAGGACTCAGCTTGCTATTCATCTGGCTAGAATTATAAAACTCCTACGGGCTCTGCGTTAGTAGCTTTATTTCTGCAGAAGACTCAAATCAATAATGTAGGAAAGGCAAACAGCAATGTCTCCCAGTACAACAGTAGAAAAATCAACACTATATCGGTTTCTGAAAACTACACAATAATGATTTCTTTATATGAGTGGATTATATACTATGCTATAATGC